CTCAATCTCTGCCCGCCCCGCCGTTTCACACCCCACCCCCCACCCCCCCCCCCCCACCCCCATCCCCCCCACCCCCCCCCCCCCCCCCAAAACAAAAAAAAAAAAAAAAAAAAAAAAAAAAAAAAAAGTCGAAAAAAGCACCGACGACGGGACTTGCACCCGCAACCTTTGGCTTAGGAGGCCAATAAGCTACTATTGCTCCACGCCGGCGTTGGACCACTAGACCATCTGGTCTTGTCTTTGTTGTTGGAAGCAATCCACGGCAGCTTGCGTCAAGACGGACGCTGGGTGTCTGGATGGTGGTGTGGAAGGTGAGGGAAGGAAGGAAGGTGCCTTGTCTGGGGTGCTCCTTCCGTTTGTATGAGGCAGGGGTGGGGTGCAAACGGGCACAACAAACAGCAGTCCTGGACAGGATCTGGGAGCATGAACCCACGAATGCAAATACGATATAAACAGGCTGGTGAGGCAGACCACAGCAAGTTTAAGCATGGGAAGTACACCATGCTGCCATAATGTTACCTTTGATATCTTGCCTTGGTAGTCCTCGCCGCTCAGCATGCGTAGTATCGATATTCTTTCTTGAGAACCTGCCTGCCATATGCTGCTCTCATTGTGTAAAGTAGGTATTTATTCAAAGACAAGACACAGTCATTTTCTATTCACCACAACAATCAGCCTTAGTGTTGTAAAGTTTTCCTATACTCTTTCAGGACAAGACTGGGACTGCTTCCAATTGCTAGAAAATACTAGCTTTGTATGATGGCGGTCGGTTTGTTCGCACTCGGTAGGCTCCTCTGTCTCCCGTCGTCTCTGGCTGTTGAGGTTTAGTGAGTATCCCACTTCCAGTGCGATGGAATCTACTCAAATCTTTGAAAATCCCGATGATCTTCTGTTGTTTCCTCTCATTCCTCTGCGCGGTGGTGGATACATACCGGACAACAATGACAGAGGCCACCCTGTCAAAAGATTAGCGGGAGTCTACTTCCAGGAGCTGAGATGCTTTCTAACCCAAACCTTGTACAAACCAATCCAGTGTGTGGCCTTCACCCTCTTGGGCCATTGCTTCTGGGTTTGAGAGCAAATGCCGTTGATACTCCTGCCTATTTATACACGTCATAAGAAGGGCATGATGAGGACCTACTTCTGGTGCAGAAGGTAACCCAGACGGGCATGGACTGCAAGCATCTTCATTACTACAAATATCGTATATATATGCCTGGATACTTTTGCCATCAACCTCGGACGACCAATGCCAATACATGGCTTTGTAGTACTGGTTTGTTGAAGTGACAATAACAGGATGCCATCGAATACGCATGCTCCTCTCATGACTTACAAACCGCCTAGTGTGTGCTTTTGATCTACTTCCCGTCATCCCTCCGCAGTGATTCTTACGAGGAATACCAGACCGACAGTGACGATGTGACACTCTGCCCACCTCGATCGCTGCTCAAATTGCGATTGCTTGAGAATGATGAGACGGGGCCGCAGACACTAGACCAGTCTATCGATTCAGCTTGTCCACACTAACACCACAATCATGATTCAACATTTGGCTGTGAAGGTTCGAAATGAGCGTTGGAAGCTGCCTTTTTATCTGTTGTTCTCACTGGCAGGTCCTTGATTAAAGTGTCCAGCTACTTTCAACCTCACGTGTCTTTTCAATGACGCCAGCAGACGACGACAATGATTTCTGTCCTATGCTAGAATTCCCACATTCAAAGAACGTGTCCTTGACATATCGACGGCTCTGATCCAAACCAAAATAGCCGCGTCAGAAGCTGAGATTTATCTTGCTATCTCCGTTTTTCATCATCGGCGGTCGTCCATACGTGAAGAATACACTCCTAGTGATCGAGTAATGATGGATGATGGTACGGATCAGGTTCCGTCAGACCTGGACTCACAGAACGCATGTCTGCTGTGACCTGCTTGCATGCTAGAATTCTTCCAAGTTCCTCAACGGCCAAGCAACATCTGTAATTTCACATCTAACCCTGATCCGTTGGTTAAATATGGCCACTGAAAAGGCTACAGGCCTTGAGGGCCCACAGCATGTGCATGTTTATCAAGTCAACATGCAATACATGACTTCAATCGACTGAACAATATCAAGACTCTTCATGTACAATTCCTTCGATTGTGTATCATACATACCACCTAGACCACCAACGCCTAAGCAATGCGTCCCAGAAAATACATGTACAGTGTGTAAAAAGTCTCAACCCAACGGACCCCTTGTAGTAATCAATCCTCTTTCTTTCTTTTCCATTCCTTCCTTCCTTATGCCGTCTTCTTCTCGGCGGGAAGCTTCTTCTTCAACGAGCCAGGCGGCGTCTTCAGCCCGGCAAACACCACCGCCGTCACAACAGCCATGCCCGCGGCGCCCATGCTGTAGGCGACCTCACGGCCAGCCCACCAATACACACTGGTGAACAGAATCGGTCCAAGACCACGACCAAGCTGACCCCAGCTGCGGAGGATACCCAGCTTGCCTCCGCGCTCGCCCTCGGCAGCCTCGAAACTGCTCAGGGTGTTCAAACCAGTGACGACCGTCGATGACGTCACCGCCAGACAAGTAGCTGCCGCGTAAAGACCGCCCGTTGTCGAGATGCGGCCGAGAAGGATGAAGGAGACGAGGCAAGCGACGGTGCCCATGCGGACGGAGAGCAAGGGCGGCAGGCGGCGGGTGACACCACCCTGGAGGATCGAGGCGACGAGGCCGACGTAGCCGAGGAGGCGGCCGTTCTTGGCGGATCCGAATGCGAAGAGCTCGTACGTCATGAAGGAGAGCGAGGATTCCATGCCGGAGAAGAAGAGCAGGAAGACGAAGTGAACAGCGTTGAGGAGGAAGTGGGAGTTGGTTCGCTGGATGGGCGCGGCAGGGGTCTTGGTCTTCTCGTCCTTCTTGGCGCCCTTGCCGGTCAACGAGGGCAGGGTCTCAGGCAGGCAAAAGTAGAGGTACAGCGTCTCGGTGAGAATGAGGAACAAGCTGAATCCCGCGGCGGTCGCAAAGGGGTTCTCCTTGACGGTGCTGATGCTGCTCAGCCATGCGCCCAGACCCGGACCGAAGGTGAAGGCGATGGAGAAGCATGCGCCAATGAGAGCCATGGTCGATCCACGGCTCTGCTCGTCGGAGATGTCCGTCGCCATGGCAGTCGCAAGCTGGACGTTGCCCTCAGACAGTCCGCCGACAACGCGCGACGCGACAAAGGTGCGGAAATCGACGGCGACAACCCAGAGGAGGACGGAGAGGATGTTGCCGCACATGGAGGCCAGCAGAGCGGTACGGCGGCCATGGCGGTCGGAGAGGTGGCCAATGAGCGGGGAGGCAATGGCCTGGAGGAGACTGAAGAGGGAGCCGAGGGCGCCGCCGAGGAGGACGATGTCGTAGCGCGAGTCGATGGGGCGGGCGAAGGCGGCCTTGTAGCGGTTGAGGCCGGAGAGGACGCTCTGGAGAAGGGTCGCGGGCTCGGTGGCGTTTGCGGTCGCGGGGCCGGCTTCGCGGTCACGGTAGAACTCGAGGAGCTTCGGGAAGAGCGGGAGGATGAAGGTGAAGGAGATCTGGCGCGGGGTCGTGGTCAGTTTTCAGCAACGACAAAGAGGGCCGCAAGTTTCACTTACAAGGTCGAGGAGGAGAGAGACAGCAATGACTCTCAGAACGCGTTTGCGCGTCTTGGGCTCGAATGCCCCGGAGGAGGTAGCTGCTGCTACTGCTGCTGCCATTGTTGCGGGCCTGCCCTGACTGTCGAATTTCGTGTGACGTAAGGTGGATCGTGAAAAGGAGAACTCTGTATCGGTTTGGGAGGAGGGAAGCTGGAAACACGTGTAAGAAACGAGGCGAAGAAAGGAGAGCAATGGAGGTTGAATTAACACACAAAGAGAAGGGCTATTGTAACATCAAGAAGAGAGGGAGAGGGAGCTTGGGATGGGGAAAACCGAAAACGAGGAAAGACATGGAAAAGTTGAAGAATAAAAAAAAAGAAGAGGACAACGGCCTTTCATCAATTGTGTGACAGGTGACACCTGCAAGCTGGGAATTGGGGGGGGTGAACGTGGAACACTGAGGTCGGAGCTTGGGCGTCGAACTGCAGAAACATGCTCTCAGGGCCGCTGCAGTCCCCCTGTCCACGCCCCTCCATTGGAGCCCATTGGAGCCCTTTGGAGCCTCTGGAAGTGGTCGGCCCAGTCCGATGTTTCAGGGTCAGGGGCACTTGGGGATCCACAGTGAAGCCAGTGAAGGCTCGCAAAGTGACGCTAACATCGGACGGGCCCCAGACCGAATCCCAGCGCGGCATCATTCGCCAGTCCTGCTGTCTAAGGTACACTAAGGGTGAGATGCCCGCCCAAAGACGCGGGACCGGGCTTTCGGGTGCTGCGCCGAGGCCGGGCGGAGACCTTGCTACAGGACCTCCAGTGACACTCCACTGTAGTGTCAGCTTTTTCGGCGATTTTCCATTGGGTGCTTCCATCCCGTGTCTTGCTTGCTTCTACGGATGCAAAATGCAGCTCAAAAGGAGTGATTCTGTTTATAGTTTGTCTGTCTGATGCAGTAATACGATATCCCGCCATGCATCATCATCCAACCTGCGCCGCGTCCCTCGTGTCGTCTCACCTCACCATATCAGACGCCCATAAGCAGAGGAAAGGTCAGGTCGTGCTCTCAGGTCCATTCTGTCTTCACCACGGCCCGGAGCTGGCGACAAAAATGTCCGTATCCGGCCAAGACACGCCTTTGTCCCCCATGACCCCGACCGGCGCCAACCCCAGACTATCGCAACTCTAAAGCCGTTTTTTAATAAAGACCGCCCGGGTCGTTGTGCTCCGCCACGAATGAGAAGCAACCTATTTCATGCAAATCTCCCATCCAGCGGCAATTGCGAGTCTTCTGAGAGGCGGCGCATGCCTTTCGAGCCACGCGAGTTGCCTGCCAAACAAACAAGGCGCTATGTCATGAACAACGAAACGATGGACGGCTGTTTCTAATATCTGACTGCCTTGTTCCTTCCTTGACGCAACGTCGCCACGCCATGGATAGCTGTTCTAGCTGCCGTCCATCACTTTGCGCCCTCGTCTAGAGGCTTTGCAAGCTTCATGTGGCCCATGTCCAGCGCGTGCCGAGCACATTCAATCGAAGCAGATGCTCGGGGATCTGAGAAGCTTCGACCTCTTCGACTTGATGGCTGGGGCGCATAATTCGTTACAACGGA